CAGTCTGACCAAGCTCTTCACTCTCCTGCTGTCTTAACTTCTCTACCCTGGTAACTTATAAGGTGAACTGTGAATTACAAACTCTCTTTTATGTTGCTTTTGTTGGAGTATTTTATTAAAGCAACAGGGAAAGCACTAAGACAGTTAATCATAAGTCATTGTTGCTTTTCACATAGAAGAAGAAGGTCTTGAATGGAAAATCTTAGTGGATGTGCTCGGTTACTCTGATTTCACACGTCCTTCCTGCTCAGTTTGTCATAGCAGTTGTGTTATGAAGAGAGGGTCAGGGAAAAGGCGCCATGTCCCATCCTTGCCTCACTTTCAGCCAAGTTCCAGGCAAGAATGGGTTCAGAGCTGTAAGGACCCCGAAATCTCAGTGTTCAGTCTGACAGACACACGGGGAACTACACACAAGTCCTGGTAAACTCCCAAGAGGATTCTGAGATCCATTCCTTGCTCCTTGCACAAACAATGCAAGACACTGTAACTGCTGTTCTGACAATTCCTTGTTTGTGCCAGTGTAATAATATTAGATTTAAACTCCAGATCCATGAATCTTCTAGGTGGAGTGAGGTATGAGGTGGTCTCTGAAAGCTGGTATTTTTATGAAGCTCATTTGGGAAATCCTGATAGCCAGTAAGATTTGGGTCTACTGATTTGCAAAGATACTGATTTGCAAAGACGCCGTGTTAGTCTTAGCATGGCAGCTAGGTTTTCTGTAATATTCACTGCTCCAGTGTCTAGGATTTTTTTTTTGTTTCCTTCCTACCTTTGTGCCCTACAAGGGGCCAGGCCCTCTGCAAACATGACAGGTTCAGTGTAGTACCGTGTTTTTTTTATGCTCATACTTTAGAATCCATCTATGACTTCCGTACTAGATGTCTATTGAATGAACTAACATCTTCCAAGGGCCAGTCTGATCTTCATCTCTGTCTCTGGGGTTCCTGGTAAGTACCCATCTGCCTCCAGAGCTGGCTGATACCTCTTTGCATTCCTATAATATATGGAACATTTTGTCCCTATTATAGCTACAGTGACATATTTCCTACTCCCAGTATTGGCACAAACAGCCAAATAGTGGGATAAGGTATTTTTAAATAGAACAGAGAATTTGAAATTGTGTTTATGCCTAATCTCTGAAGTTTTCAGCCAAGATAAAAATAGTACTTATTATATCACGACATATAGAAGTGAGTTTATAATATAGAAAACTCTCCAAGGCTTCTCGGGGAAAAAAAAAAAAAACCAAAAACTTCCATTCCCTTTCCTTAGACTAATTCCAATTTCTGGAGGCAATAATCAAGATAAAATCAACAATTTTGACCAGATAATCCAAAACTCCATAGACTCTAAGAGGCCATTCCTATATCTCTTGTCAGACCCTCAAGGTCTGTTTTTACCTCACCAGAAATACATGTTTGCTTCTCTTGTGTTCCTCCAGTGATAACCACAATTCTCAAATGCACGTTTAAGCTTGACCAAACTCATAGAATTTCTGTATACACATTATACCTTGCCTTTATTACTAGATGGTTTATCTTAGAGATTTACTCCATACACATAAATGATGAGACTTCTCATTCTTTTGTGTGGTAGGCTGTTTCACCGCTATTAACGGTGCTAGCATTTACTTAGCTGATGGAACTTTAGCGGGCTTCTTGTTTTTGCTACTGTAAGTAATTCCTCGGTGTATATATATCATTTTTAGGGTACAAGAATAGCTGAGGCTGAGCTCCTAAAATTGGAATTGTTAGTGTGTACTTTTTTTTTATATTTAATGGACACTGTCAACTGTTCGTCATGAAACATATAAGAATGATTTGCCCAGTGCAAGCATATCTGGTGACCCCAAATGCTATGAAGATTCTTTACTCTTTGCCACTCTGTTATTTAAGAAATAGTGTCTCTTGATAGTTTTAATTTGCATATCTCATTATAACAAGACTGGGTCTCCGTTCATGCAGTTACAGCTAATTATGCTTCCTGTGAACTTCCTTTTCAGGATGTATTGAAAAAAACCTAATCAAATTTGTCCATTTTTCCCTTTATAGTCTCCGGAATTTGTTGCAGTTAGAAAGATGTTTGATATGTAAAATAAGTTTCAAAAAATATTCCTCAAACTTTAAAGTTTGTATTAGCTGGTCAAAACTGCTGATTTTATTTTAATTGTTGCCTCCAGAAATTGAGATTAGTCTAGGGGGATAGAATAGGGAGTCTTCTGCTGGCCTGGGAAGGTGTTCTAATTATTATATCAATATTTCCTTTCTATACTAGAATTTTATTTTGGCTTGACTATTATTTGTTGTTGATATCTCCCTCAAGGGAACTATTTTTTAACTATTTTCCAAATCTATGATGTTCTTTTTCTGTATGTTGCTCATCAGTGTAATATTTTTTTATTGCCCCGATGATGATAGAACCTGGTACCCCATGCATCCTGAGCAGGGGCTCCACCACCAAGCAATGTTCCCAGACCCCCTTTTTTTTTTTTATAGCATTTCTGGTTCATTGTAAGCTTTTAGAATGACCTTTTTTTTATGGTCATTTTCTTGTCTGAGTGCTAAGAGTTGGTGATTCTTCTCTCTCCGTTCTATGAACAAGTGTGACTAAGAAAATACCTGCTTTGCTTTGATCGCTCACTAAGCGAGGACTGTTGTCAAGTGATATTCATGTTGACATGTGATTGTAATTCTCATCTATCACCACACATTCACAACTATGTTTTCCTGGTGCTGCCTCCTGTTTATGAGTTCTTCTCCAGGTAGTCACATGATCTTTTGTCAACTTGTCTTCATCATTTATTTTTTTGTCATTTAAAGTCAGTTTCTCACTATCTAGCTCCAGCTGTCCTGGAACACACTATGTAAACCTGGCTGGCCTTGAACTCAGAGATACGCCTGCCTCTGCTTTCTGAGTGCTGTGGTTAAAGGCATGCATGACCACTACCCAGCATGCCTTGATAACTATTTTTTTAAAAAGAATTATTTTATTATGTGTACAGTGTTCTGCCTGCATGTATCCTGCAGGCCAGAGGAGGACAAGATTTCATTAGAGATGGTTGTGAGCCACCATGTGGCCACTGGGAATTGAACTCAGGACCTCTGGAAGACCAGCTAGTGTTCTTAACCACTGAGCTGTGTTCCTTGATAACTTTAAGTGAAGACTTTTGTAGAGTAGTGTTGTGTTCATATGAGAGAGATGAAAACATTTCTTCACAAGAGTGGCGATGTCCCTGGGTCACTGCAACTTTTCACACCACTCCGCCCTGTGCATACTCAGTGCTTTTGGGATTGGACTCTCAGTTCAAAGGGCGTCAAGCAGTGTGGCTGTTTCCAACTTGGTCTCCCCATCACAACTACCAGATTGTCTTTTCATCATGATGTCACAGAAGGTCCAGCGATGGTCTCTTCACTAACTAATCCTTGGACTATCCCAACAACTGTATAGGGTAGAGGGGGAAGTGGGGGCAGCTATTTCCACTTCCAGGGCATGAAATCTCCCATCAATATTGTGTTCTGCTCTCTCTAGATCTAAAACCAGAGGCAGTCCTTTATGTTTTCCTGAAATTTGACTTTAAGCTTACACAGTTCTTCCTTATGCAGGAAGCCTAATTCTTCTCTCTATTTTACAGAAGAAAAGTAAAGTTCAGTAAAATTAGACTGAGTCATCCAAGGGCACTTGATGAGGAAGGGCTGAAGCTGAGGTTTAAGCAGGACTTATAACCACACTGCAGGGTCTTTTACTCTGTGGCACATAGCTTTCCAGGATTTTTTACACTATGCATTGTAGTTTGTTCTCTGATATTGGTGTGAATATCTCCTATTTACCGGTTGATACACCTCTGAAGCAAATAAAACATGTTTTTTTGTTTCTAGGTTCCTAAAGCGTACCTTTTGCTTGAACAATACAGCGGAGGGAGGTGTCTGTCACAGGCTGAAATGGTGCGTGTATGGGGGGGGGAGGGTATCAAAGTGATAGCTGCTTTATCTAAGTCATGAGCAAAGCACTGTGGGAAAAGTGTCTCCTACCGAGTCCTTTCTCCATTTTGTTCCTGTTTCAAAATAACCCATAAGCTCTGCTTTTGGTTTGCGCTGTGGCTTTCCATCTGTTTTCTGCTTGCCAGGCCCAGACGGTTACCACATAGAGACCTTACATTTAGGTTTTGTTGAGCCAGAAATTCAGCAGACCCTCCTGACTTCTTTCTGAAATTCTGACTATGCCACTTGTCAGTGGCCAGAGCTAGGACTGGTCTATCGAGCCTTGAAGTGCATTGACTCTACTACATGGGCAGGTTGCTCCTTGGGGTCTGAACAAAGGCTGGTGGGAGAATCCAGACCTTTTCTAGAGAAGGGATAAAAGAAGGAAGGAGAAAGGGGTCAGCTGACTAAACTCTTTGCTTAAAATACTAAAATGACGCATAAGCACCTAGATTATGTTTGCATTTTCCCATCCTTAGTCCTCATCCTGCAAAAAGACTTATCCCCAAACAGGGGCAATCCCTGTAAGCCATCTAGGACGGGAGAGAAAAGTTTATGAGGAGAGCCATTGTGATTTCCTGGATGTGGGCCCATTCTCAAGGAAACAAGCAAACAAACAAACAAATCAAAACTTGAAGCCCAAATGAAGACTAGTAGCCTGAAAAATGTATAGAGGTTTCAGAAAATACCCTTAACCTCTTTAACAGATCATTTTTCTTCATGTTCTGTTCCAGGCCTCGTTCCTACATAGATCAGTTTTAAGAAGGCACAGATTGGCTGGAGAGATGGCTCGGCCGTTAAAGGCTAGGCTCGCAATCAAAAGTACAAGAAGGCAGAGACAAGCTGGCATTCTTTATAGTCATCTTTATTTATTTTATGTCACAAACTTTTATTTTCCTTCCTAAGAAGTACTTTCATTTGAACTACTGTCAACCCGGGAAGGGGGAGGAGGCAAATCAGCTGCAAGAGCAAAGGACCTGGAGGAAGAACCGAGAGGAAGTAGCAGGACTTCAACAACCGGCTCCAAGGACACCAGCTGCATATCTTGTGGACACATGTTGGGTTTAACTTGAAAGCGCCTGGAACTTCTCATTGACAGCCTGCAGGGCCGATAGCTGTTTCTTGAGGTCCTCTATCTCTTTCTGTAACTCTGGGCAGCGGGGACAACCCTGTATTCCAAGCTGCATCTCTGGATCTGGGGGTGAGGGGTCCACAAGTGTTTCCTGGTCTCCAGATGGTGCAGATCTTCTAGACACGGGGCCTTTCTGGCCCAGGGCTAAGGCCTGAGAGTTTGCTGGGTCCTGGAAGCTTCTGGTGTTTATATCCCCACCGCTGAATTCTTGATGCACACTCTGGCCAGGTGGCTCTGCCCTGTGTGTTGGAAATGGAATCTGACAGCAGGGATCCCTGGTTAAGTCGGTGTCTTCTTTGGCTACCAACTGTAAGTCCCTTGTCCTCTTTGCCCCAGATCTCTTCCCAGTGTAGAAGTTCTTGCACTGTTTGGGCCTCAAAGGCAGCAGGGAGCATTTATTGGACCTCCCAGGCAGCCCGACACCAGAGATTGGGGGGAAGGTGGCTGGCTCTGCAGGAGCTGACTTTAGTCTCTGGCCCCATTGATGGAAGGCTCTCCCCAGGGTGACAGCTGAGGCATCCCACAGAGGTTTTTTCTTCGGTGCCATCTTCTTTCTAGGATTGGCCTTGGGCAGGCTACCTGTCCCAGGAGCTTCTGGATAGCTGGGCTTGACCCCTCCTTTACCCCATAAGGCTCCTGGCTTTTTCTTAGAGGAAAAGGCTTCCAGTTCCTTCGAGGCCTGCCTTTCCATGCCAGAGGTGAGTCGGGTAGTAGAGGTCAGTAGCGAGGAGGACATCCGGATGAAACTGTCCCTGGCCTGGACATTTGAGTGTCTGGCTAGGTCTCCGGTCTCGGCTGGGCCGCTGTTCTTAGCCTGGCTCCCATCTTTGAGGCAAATGGTCACCCTCATCATCTGTACCTCATTTAATTCATCTAAAAACTCAGGTTCAGCAATAGGATGGTGGGTATCCTCGCCGATCACCATCCTGCTGGAGGTACTCTTCCTCGGGGTCACCCAAGCCCTGCTTTGTTCCAGTCCCTTGGGGAAGGGAGGGGCAACAGAGGCTGGCTTTGCCTCCTCAGAGCCTGAGGCCTGCGGATCTCTCCTGCTGGATCCTGTCTCTGTCTCCGTCTCTGCACAAATGCCCTCTGGGGATGGGTGTTCTCCGTCTCCTGGTGACTCTAGGTTGGTCTCCTGATGCCCGATGGCCACTGTCTCTACACTGGGTGGGGAGAGGAAGTCCAAACCAACCACCTTCTCGTCCACTGGGGAATCTAGGCTCTCTTTCTCGGGCACCGAGGAATCTGGCCAACATCCCCCAGCCCAGAGCACCACTGATGTGGGCTCTGACACTTCCAGCTGCGACACCGAAGGGAACTCGCTCACTTTGGGGTCCAGGAGGCTGCCTTCGCTCTCGCTGCTCTCAGCAGGCCTTGGGACAAGGCTCAAGCTCTTGGTTTGGTCTCCTCCCTCCACGTAAAATCCTTCTTCTGGAACAGACGCCTCCTCAGGAGAGTTCATATTGCCAGTCCCGGAAGCGGAAGTAAAATTCCAGGAAGACCGTTGCTCGACTCACTTTAGATGCAAGGCGCAATCTCAAAGATGCAGAAAGACCTCGGTAGGGGCCATAGGTTTCTGGCCTAGCACCGAGCATTTTGTGTGATTTCTTGTTTTCTCCTAAAAAAATTAATTGCATCACAAAAAAGATATACTGAGCTTTAATAACATAATTTTATCATGTTTGTGTGAGCAGGCTTTAAAGCTTTTTTTTTTCTTACAATAAATGCCACAGTAACTTCACGTGTGTGTGTGTGTGTGTGTGTGTGTGTGTGTGTGTGTGTGTGTTTGCTAAAATATTTATTTCAGAGGGATTGTACAGAGTGGGATTATGTGCAGAGGAAAATCAGTTTCAAACTTAAATTTAAGCACGTAAACTTTTTGACATAGAATGACATGAAACTCCAGGTTGTCCTCAAGCTTGCTTTGTACTGTGACTATGATCTTGAATTCCGGATTGTTCTGCCTTCATATCTCAAGTGCTACTAGGACTCTAGGTCTGTGCCACTGCGCCACATTTATGTGGTCCTGGAGATTGACCCAGCACTTTGCACATGTTATGGAGGCAAGCTACCAAATGAGCTACATCCCTAGTGCTAAGATAAGACACCTTTAACAGCTGTGATGAACACACGTTCTTAAATCGCTCCGAGAAGAGTTGGCTGTCCCTGCTTCTCTAAAGTGAAGTGGAGCCATGGGCCCAAATGATTGACAGCCCCTGGTTTATAGGAGTGTCCAGGCAGAGTGTGTTGGTTTAAGTCCTGTTGTCGTCAAGTTAGCATAACCACTTGCTATTTTCACTCTCTCCCATTCTAAAGATTTTTCCTTTACATATTTGTTAAAGCACAAACCAAGTAACAGTCTTCTTGAATCGTTTCCAGTTTAGTTAGAATCGGTTCAAAGCCGGTCATGTGGCTTACAGGGCACTCACCGGCTAGCTAGCCTCTTCCTACCTCATGGTCAACAGACTGCCCTGGGTTACCAGTTCTCAGTCACACCAATCTTACTTTAAAACATGCCAAGTCCATTTCCATCAAGTCCCTTTCACTTGTCTCTTGTTGTCGAATCAGCTTTCTTCAGAGATGTACACAGAGTGATTTTCCTTATCTTTTTAGACTTTGAAACACCTTCCTGATGATTCTGGCTAGTAGCCACCTCTCTCCCAGTTACCGGTCCTTCTTTACCAACTGTGTTCCCACCCCCGAGCTTTGCTTTTCTTTATAGCATTTTTTTTTTTGCACCCACCTCTCTCTTAAATGTACTTTTTTTTTTAATTCAGCACTGGAATGCGGACTCTAGGCTAGGTTAAAAACTGCATCTGTCTCAGCTACTGACTATGATTATTCTACTTAGAGTTGTTCAACTGTATTATGGTTGAAACCAAATATTATCATTTGAATGCATGGGATCTGGAAGACAAGTTACCAATTTTATTGCAAAGTTAGTTTGGATAATTCTAAAACAATCTTCAATTCAAGTCTAGCATTTCCTTTGGATGCACTAAGTTATAAAGTTCTAAAAGTGAAATCTAGAATGCAGGAGAAACTGTAGACATTGGGCTTTAATAAACAGTCACCGCCTGGGTTGTAGTGTTTCCTTACTTAGATTTCATCCTTGAGTAGTATTTGTTACATTCTTTTGTGAGCACAGCTTTGGATTGAACACTGAGAAAAGAATGGAAGAAGTGTTTGAAATAGATCTCACCTTTTAATAGCACACAGTTCAGTTGTGAAAACAAATATACTGACGTTCATTCTGCCTTCCTCCAACACCCAAACACATAAGTAGGATGGCTGAGGCAAAATGTAAACAAGTATGGTAATAAAAAGACCTCAAGTATTTTATGTGTTAAGAATTAGCTCATTAGTACCCCTTTGGCCCCGAATACATGGGTAGTATCTACTATTTTTCTTTCATAACTTCTTTGTTTTTACTTTTTATTACTTTGAAAAATTAAAATAAAAAACAACACATTTCATTAAATGGTTTAAATACATAAATATTCAATTCTCATGACAACCATATGTGTTTGCAACTATTCTCCTCATCTTTAAGAAGAGGAAACTCAGACTCACACAGTTATTTGCCCAGAACTCAGTTACTTGCCCAGTCATCAAATGGGAAAGCAGGTAAATTTCTGTGAGTTCAAGGCCAGCCTGGTCTACAGAGTGAGTTACAGGGAAGCCCAGATTTTTACATAGAGAAACCCTGCCTCAAATACCCCTCAAAGATTTACACTTTAATATATTTACACTTTGCATATTGTAGATATTCAATACCCAGTTATCAAATGGTTTTGTGCTTTTACTCTTCCGGGTCAAAGGTTAGTATATAAATAATAGAATAATGAAGCCATGGAGAGTTTAAAGAAAGCCAGGATGTGAAGCCAAATAACTATAAACTATAAATCTCTTTGTTATTAAAGTCTGAATCTCATGTTCTGTCATTTTACTGCAGAGACAAGTACATCATTTAAAAAAAAAGGTTATTAACAAAAACAAAATAAAAAGCACCATACAAAAGAGCCTTGCAAGTAAAGTATTACACAGAGAAGTTATACTCTAAAAGGTAACACAAGAGTGGCGGTATTAGTTTAACAGTAATGGGATACAGATCACAGGAAAATGAAGAAATAGCCAGATTGCTCATATGCAGAAAAAATGAATTAATCCAGAACGTATGATTGTCAGGAAGTATCATGGACTCAGGTCATATCCTTGGCAGAGTACTTGAAAAAAGGACTATATTGTCTCAGTTGTCAATGAACAATTAATCATGTATTGAATCCTGAATGGTTCAGATTCATACTTGCAGTAGGTTGAAATGAAATGACGAGTTGGAAGTAACTGTGTGGCAAGTTTAGACAAATATAATACAAAACCAAAGGAAACAAAACACTTTACCTAAATTAACCTCAAACCAGTGTGAAAAATTCTTCTATCTTAATAACTGGCTTCTACAACAATTGGGATCCATTGAGTAGCTGTGTAACCCTGATTTCATGTCTGTGAGTTAGTCTTTATTGGTTAGGATGACATAACCACCTGGTGTGCTTGTGGGCTGTGAAACTTTAAACCTAGAAAGTCAAGCAAGCAAACAGCTGTGGACTTTAGTTGTAAACACTGGAGCTGAAAAAAAAATCTTCAAGTCATAGAAGCTACATGTTACATGACCGATTGATTAGAAGGCCAGGCTTCCTGATCACGATGATGTGAAGTCATACAGGTGTACCACTACCCCATTTCATTAGAGGGATTTCAAAGAATGAGAAAGAACATAAAATATACAGGCAATAATGGAGAAACAGAGTAGAAAGAGGGAGGAATCGAATATTCATAAGGAAGAGCTGAGAGAAAAATAGATTGCTGCTGCTTAAGCTACCTGGCCTGTACTATGCTTTTATGGAAGCCCGAGTTGACTCATACAGAAGGGAGCAATTACAACTGAAAAGATTCTAAATGCAATTTGTAGAGAGGGTCTTGAAGATATTGCTTTCATAAAATAAGAATATGCTTCTGGGAAATTGGAACATTCTGAGACAAAAAAAAATTCTTAGAAAGTTAAAATCTAATTTCCAAACTAAAATATTCAGTAGGAGGTCTGGAATATTGAGAAAACCTCCCAGGACCAAGAGTAAAATAAGAGAGTGAGGAAAAAATGTTAAGAACTCAGCTAGGGATGTACATGATCTAGCAGATATCTGATTAATAGGATTTCAAAATAAATCAAGAAAAAGGAAGAGAAGGGGAATTATTTGAAAAATAGATAGATTAATCTTTAAACTGAAAAAAAATACACAATTACCCTATATAAAGAATACAGAGAAACCTGTACCGAGATAAACCCTTGCAACCTTTCATAGACCCAAGGATAAAGATAGCCCTGGATCTTTAAGATATAAAAAGATTGACTCCTACAATGGACCAAAAACCATAGTGACATCTACATGCTAGAAGGCAGAACAGAGAATCTTCGAAGTTCTGAGAGGAAATGGTAGTGCATATTAATAACATTAAGACACATTGCATATTCAGTTTCAGGGGACAGGCAACGTTCCAAAGGCTTTAAGTAAATCACCCAGTCTTTCCAATAATCAATCTCTCTCCTTCATTGTTTTTGGAGGCAGCCAATCTGGACTCATTCTGGAGACCTCCTGCTGCCACTATGACTAGACTCTACTTTGAAATACATAATCTTGTTCATAGTAGATGCCCTTTTCAGATGGCAGAATTGAGGTAGGATGGTTAAATTATATTCCCCAAGCAAATCACTGATTGTTCTCTGTCCAACTAAATTATTGAAGTGTGAAAGCAATGAAAAGATAATTCTGATGTTCATGATCTTGAAAACATAAAATGTCTTTGAATATGTCATTAAAATTTATTCTCCACTAAACAAACAGAAACGTGCATACAACAAAACAAAAGGAACCCCACAAGAAATGTGAGAAAAGATGCAGGAGATATTGTAATCCAACTTGCTAAGGAGAAGAAATCCCAGGATTTCAGCACTATGGAAGGTTTAGAAAGTAGTCAAAATTGTGTGATCTTAATGGCAAGGAGTGATCATTTTGTCAACAAGAAAAAACATATTAGAAACTTCAGTCAAAATACAATCCTGTGTAAGCAAGGCAAGCCCCCCCCCCACCCCCACCCCCGTGAAATGAACTAGCGCGTGTTGAGACGTGGGTCACCAATGTGATGTACATTTCCTATGTGATGCTCAGTAGAGAGGATCCATTGGATTGAAACTGCTTTGCTCTTTGACTCAGGTAGTGATCTAACCTAAGAGTAGATTGGTTGCTTAAAGATAATCCCTAGCATTACGTTAAAAAATACACATCATTCTGTTAAAAATATCATTATGTAAGCATAGCTTTGAAAATTCCACTTATTATTTAGTTTTTATAATATGTACATCATGTATATTTACAGAATCGAAGGAAAAAATTTTAATATACTTATTCTGAA